ACAGCTCAGATAAAGTGCAGCACAGCTCAGATAAAGGTCAGCACAGCTCAGATAAAGTGCAGCACAGCTCAGATAAAGTGCATATGTATGGAGCAAGTGTGAAACCATAAGTGCTGTAGAGGTATTCAGTAATCTGATGGCCTTGGGTAGAAGCACCTGGGGGCAAAATAGGCAGTTGCCTAAGGCCAAAGAATTACCCGTCTTCTGGAAGAATTGAAATGATCATTAATTTTCTTGGTAGGGAGGCCTCCCAAGTAAGCTTTCATTAATAAGATGTTATAATGACATTTCAGCTTGGGATGTTGTACTACTGTCATACTGAACAAGTAAATATATGACATATCATCCTCATTGAAATGTCAAAGCTAAATTGCTTTTAAATTACCTTATGTTTAAAGGTAAACTCTCCATATGTCTGATACAGTTAAAAGTGTAATCTCCTAAGGAAGACCTCATTAACTCTTTTTGTACCAATTATCAGTTATAAAACCAACCAATAGCTGGGTTATCACTAAAAATCACACCCAATTAAAGAAATACAGGCTCCCAGGCTTATTCTGATCCAATGACAGATAAATTAAAGATAAATAACAGAAAACTGAAGAATAGATTACCGCTATGTGAGCCGAGAAAGCCTCAGGAAAGCTGCGTGTCCTGTGGGTCCCAGTGTGGTTCCGCAGAGGTGTTCCTCATCGTCCTGTCTTGTCCCGCACTCGTAGGCCCGGTCCTGCCTCGGCTCCGGCTCCGGATTACACCGTCCATGTAACGGCTCGTCTTAACTTGTAGTCCACCGGTCTTCAAAACAAGGGATCATCTTGTTCTGTGTCTGCCTCCGAACGTGATGCCCTCTGACACAGAACCCCGAGTGTTCATACAAGAGCGAAATAAAATGCAAGTGAGCATAAGAGGCACAGGGAGGAGAGTCTTCAAGGATGGTATTGGGCGGGAAACATTGGCCATCATTGTGTACAAATCTGAATCACATTGGCTAAACACAGACCATTTTAATACCTTACACACTTTGTGTAGTGAATGCCTTAAGCTCTCACCAATCAGTCAAATATTGATGGTAATTTATACCTCTAGACATTTACACATGCTGATTCTCACATACGATTTGATCTTCTAATATACTACATACAGCTTCAGATCCTAACACTCTATACCTGGTACAAACTACCACTGACATTCATTTGAATGTTTGATGTTACATCATTTATTATTCAAATATTGATAAATATATGCATGCATAGCCAGACAAAGCTCAGTGGTGTGAAGACAGGATCAGTCTCTGCACTTTCGTACTACTGGCATGTTTTAAAACCACAAGGTTCATGCATTTGAAGAAGCCAGGTGCTGTTTGTCCTTGGCCAGAACCATGAGCACAATCATTACTAACATCAAGATATGTGTGTGCTTATTTTTTACAAGCACAAATATTGCACACAAAATTAGAGGTGGAGAGTTCAGGAAAGTACAAATCCAGACCAAGATTTTGTTTCAACCAGCCAGTTGAGTACTCTGTGAATGTGACTCTGTGTCTGTGACTCTGTGCCTGTGACTCATTAAACTGAACTGTTTGATTGAAACAAAATCTTAGTCTGGATTTTCACTCTCTAGACCTGAACTATCCACCTCTGCAAAAATGGAAGTATGTTGTTATTTATTTAAAAATAAAGCATTTTTGTGTGATTATTATTGGGGGGGGGTGGGGGGTGTGGTTGCCCTGCAGTGGGTTGGTGCCCCATCCTGGGTTATTCTTTGCCTTGTGCCCATAGCTTCTGTGGATCTGGACCCCATAGCCCTGAATAGGATAAGTAGGATGGATAAAGCAAAGTAGTATTTGTTCCAGGAAAATTTTAAGTTCTGAAAAGACTTGTGGGAGTTTTTAGACCTTCTGAATCCGAAGTGGGAGGGGGGTATGACAGTGGAATTAGCCTCCAGTGGTCATAGGACCAAGAGGATCTGGCAGTATAACCATCTGAGAGCTGACCTCATGCATCACTGGAAAATTCTTGCCTTCTTCTTCCATGATATGTGCCTCTGAGAAGCCAGAGTGATTCTTCAAGCAGAACTCCAGACATGCTCTGTTCACTGTATTCAGTTGGGGGGGGGGGTTACTCCTATTAATAGCATAGAAGAGTTCATTCAATATATGAATATGCTATTCAGGACAATGTCAAGGCAGGATGAATGGAGCCTAGACTAGACAAGGCAAGATTATTTTAGTGAAGATAAGATTATATCCTGTTTACTGACACTTTGACCCAATTCAGTGTGCTATTGGTGACTGATAAATAAGGAAAAATATGTTATTTCACTTTTTTGCAGGACGTTTCATCCAAAGCGTCATGAGTAGCTTTAAGTATTATGTCTTGGCCATTCATGTAGCTTGCTGTGTTTCTTACTGAAATAGAAGAATAATGGTTTTCACCTAACTTTTGTCGTCACATCCAGCTCCTTGCGCTGTTCTGTGTCCTCTGCCACTTGCTTGTCCCTTGACTCATTCATCCTTTGCTGGTTTGATCCTGGTTGCTTGATAGCTGCTATATAGTGATGGACAAAATGATGCTTCATGAACCATTTGCTGTATTTTTGACTCCATTTGACATACACGCATATATATCTATACACACACACACACACATAATACATATATACACAATCAAAAGGATAGAGGTAAGATAGTTTTGAATAAAAAATAAAAACTAGCACCCTAAACATTTTTTTGAGTAAACATACTGAGTAAACTGATGTAAGTAAACTAAAGTGAGTCCTTGAAGGGCTTCTTCTACAATAAAAGATAAGAAAACAAGATTTTACTACAGATGTTACAATTATAATTTTACATTTGTGAATAAAAAAATAAATGTGGTTAATTGATTTGGCTCATTGTTGCTCCTTAAATGCAAAACAAATTAGAAAAGATCAGCTCAATATATGTAACTTATTAAGTGTTAAATGTTCCGATGGAAGCATGCAATGGAAATCAGTCTATAGTCAGAATAGTAGCCTAAGATCGGGGATTATAATGTATCATTTTTATATTAACAAAAGTACTGGCTGCAGCACAGCAGCATTGTTACATTAACTTGCCCTATGGGTGACAGCTGGTTTGCAGCTTTGGGTGTGGAGGCTACACTGGTGTCAGAGTGGGATAAAACATTATATCTGGCAACCCTAGAGTTGGGAAAGGTGAAGAGTAGAATCCAAGTTTCCCCAAATAGTGTGGAGAGGAGAATGCTCCAGATGCTGATGGTCTGTCAGAACACCAATGAGGGGGTGCAGAGCGATGATCCTCGTAGAGCAGACTTTGACCTAGAGCCGATGTGCTCAGAGCTGCTGCCTTTGATGGGGAGTCTGATGTGGTGTCTCGCCAAGACCTGTAAACAAGCCGGATGTCACCGTTTCAAGCTCGCCTCAGGGATAGCAGTGCTATCAGCCATCAGTCGGTTAAATGTCACAATCTGAATGATGACAACCAGAGTAAAAGTTAAAGGTCACCAATTAACATCTCACTTCAGTAAAAGTCAAAAAGTGTCTGATGTTAATACCATGTATCAAGCGTATTTAGTTAGTAGTAAATGCAGTGAACTTGTGGTACAAGATCAGTCAGTTAGATACAATAGCCATCTGCATGGGATTCCAAACGAAAAATGAGATGCTGTTTTTAATGACAACAATGTATTTCTGTCGCCCCTTTTTAAAGTATTTTCCTGTTTAAAGTTTTACTATTTATGCATTAAAAAATTTCAGCAGCTGTCGACGAAAGTTTGTCAAACTCATGCCTAGATATTCATTAATCACTTTTAAAATCTGAAAAATTCTGGATATTAATTCAGTTATAACATTTCATGGTAATGATTTGCAAACATCTACCACATTGTCTATTGCGTTTTTCATTCTGGATACATGAAATACATTTTACATCAGGATTGAAATAGTACTGAAGCAATATCGTCAAATAATGATCATTTTATTCTTTTATTTTATTCTCCTTTGTGCATGCGAGATGCTAAGTGTAGCGAGGCTTGGAAATGGCTAATTTTTCTGCGCATGCGTGAACGAGCCTGAAAACACAAAGTGCGTCTGTCTGCGTGATGTCATTGTGTTTAACTGTGGTTTTAAAATGCTGAACATTCGAATGTGATCAGCATGCAAAATCCTTGTTTACTTCTATTAGATACAGTATGCTGGGATTTCAAATACTGGGCTAGTTTCAACTTCCGTTGTGCGGATTTTTAGCAGAGCTCGGACTGGAGATTTTTGCGGGGCCTGGCAGCACTGCTGAGAAGGGGTGCTGCAGCCGTATGCTTCTCCTGGACTTACTGTACTTCTGTTTTCACTGTGCCACTGCAGACAGAAGTGAATTAAGTATAAAGTTGCCAAAATAATACTTAATTGCTGCAATAAAGTACAATTGCTCAAGTACTGCACACCACTGCCCGTAAATTACAGTGCACAAGTACTACACCATCAGTGGGGTTTCACCTCTCATTTCTTCCATTAGTACCCGTCTCCACTGTGCTCTCCTGCATGTTTCTGGAGCCTGAACTGCACTGGAGCTATATAGTGAGTTGGATGGTACATTACTACTTCCGTCCAACAGATGGCAGTGCGATCGCAAGGTAAGGCAAAGGGAATCACGCTGACTACATGATGGATTTCCACAGGAGTCCCTTAGGACTCAGGATTCCCGTCATGGGAACAGGAGAAAGAGAAAAAAAATCTGTATAATACCATGAGACGGTGCAGGACACAAACCAAAAGGAACAGGTTAGGATTTTATTTTTTTGTCAAAATTAGGTACAGGCAGGAATAGAAATATTCTTTAACACTGAAGCAATTAATGTGCATATTGCATGGTTTCTGTGCTGACTGTCAAGAAAAGGGGATTTATGGGGGTAGTGAAACCATTTGGTTCAAGGCATGTGATACCCACTTGTAAATCTTTCAGTCAAGGAGCCTTGCCCAGTAAACACTGTGAGCACCAGAAGAAGGTTGCGATGGAAATATAAAATGCAGCGTACTCTGCTTGCACAGCAGACCTGTGGCCAAGCCGCTTATCCAAGCCTTATATTAGTTTGACAGTACATTTTATCAGTGAAGACTGCAATCTCACAAGCAGATGTTTGCAGATGTGTTGTTTTCCTGGTGATCACACAGAGGTCAGGGTTAGGTTAGGGTTAAAGTTAGGTTAGGGTTAGAGCGACGGCTGAAGTCATGATAAAAGCTATGGAGTTGATCAGCAGCATCAGATGGCAGCGTTTGGGACAGTCTACACATCGCCCACTGTTTACATTAGCTTGTCAAAATACAAGACAAGACAGGAAAAGAAACAGGACAGGATTGTTAAAAAAATGTCAAGCTAAGACAGGAAGTATTACACACAGAACAGGACAATACGGGATCCCAAAAATATTTTAACAGGAATGGAAGCTAGAAAATTGGATAAGATGGTGCAGTGCAGGAATTAAATTTATACTCCTATGTAATAATACTGACAACAAGCCAAAACGATAATTTATTATTGATTATAGATTGACATATTTATGGGGGGGGGGGGCACAGTGGCCCTATTGCCTCATGCTTCTGGGACCAGGGTTCAAGTCTCTGCCATGGTGTATGGAGTTTGTACATTTTCCATGTGTTGTCATGGGGTTTCCAACAGGTACTCTGATTCCCCCAGTCCAAAAACATGCTGAGGTTAATTGGAGTTACCAAATTGCCTATAGGTGTGACTCTAAATAGGATGAGCGGTTATAGAAGATGGATGGATGATATATTTTAAATACCCTAGTCTCGTGTCCCCCATGCACCCTAACCAAGGGGATGAACCGATACCGTGACCCATGGGTGTGTTATTATGGGAATTGTAAATGTCCATCAGATGGCGCTTTAAAAACACTAACGTACAAGTACTTGTCAAGTTGCCGGATTTTTAATTATTTTAGCAATATACTAATATGACACGTGTAAAACGCTTCCAGTGTTTCAACATCTACAACGTTACAAATAATTAACCATTAAAACAGCCCATTAGTTTGAAAACTGTAATCATTATATTCTTAAAAGAGTAATATTGCAAGTTAGAAGGTGTATCTGCAGTGTGCGCGTTCTGAGGTTCATTCAGGGTTTTGCTTCCTTCCTGATCGCGTCACGCTTTCCTAGTAGGACGGGTCTCCCAGTGTGGCTCATTCGGCTTTAAGTCCGGCAGCAGGAGGCGCCGGGAGTTTTTACCTGCCTGACTTTTAAATGGATGTGATCGACATACAAGTCTGTCAGCTACGTATTACAGCACGTTAAACGTGTTTAGTGTTTTTTCCCCTGAGCTGGTTTACTAATACTGATATTAAGCTCATTAAGTATGGCTATTATAACATGCCGAGTGCAGTACCTGCAGGACGCGGACCCCTTCGTCTGCACGAACTTTCCCGAACCTAGACGGCCGCCGCATTACAATTTCCACGAAGACCTGCAGTTAAGCGAGCAAATCGCCGGTGTTCATAAAGTATTAGAAGCCCCGTTGAAGGTAAGCATTTCTGTTCGTGTATACAGTATACAGTCATATAACACTGGAACGGCTCTTTTTTGTTCCATACAGACTACCTTGAGTTTTTACGATGTATTTTAAATAATTTGGCACTTACGTTTAAATATATGCCTATTTCGTAAATCGTATTTGGCCAGTTTTAACTGGTTTTAAATGTTTTAGAATCAAAAACGAAACCCGGCACTTTCGGAAGATGACATCATTTGTTAATATAACTTTTTTTATTAAGTATCTATAGTAATCCATTTACTTTCCCCCTATTAGGCCTATAGTATTATTATAATTATTGCGCGTTTTGTTTTGTGTATGAACTCTTTTGTCCGCGTTAAAGCATTCTGTTTAATTTATGTATGTAACACGTCTCCACTAATTAACTGCATGTTGGTTTATCTTTGAGTGTTATAAGTATTAAATGCCTTTGATCGCGTTTTTTTTGTGGTAGTTGGGTTTGTTTGAATAAAAGGTGTTTCGTACAAAATATAAAGAGTGGGAGTTTGAGTTGCATTATCATCAATTGGGCGTGAATGCAAGGAATGACCAAAAAAGTGACACATTGGACTTCAGTGGGTCCAGGAGGTTACTTGATACAGATTTTAATCTGTGTATGTTTAAAGTCGTTAGTGAAATAAAAGTAAGAGTTTATAACTGCTATGCTTCAATGAGTCCTTTGCTAAACCCTCTGTTTATAGAAATTAATATTGTGTGTATATTTATTTGGGCATGGAGTACATTTAGATTTATAAACTTTGTACAGATTTGCTATAATTAATGGATGCTTTGGGTGGGGAGGGGGCATTTTCAGATGTAATATCCTATAGGGAAACTGCATTTCCCCAGTCGCAGGAAATGACTCACTCAGGCTCTTTTGTCACTATAAGTGTAGCATGTCTTTTTTTTAACCCTGCTGTAGAGAGATGAAGCTTTTCTGCACTTTCTTGGCTACTGCTGGAAGCTACTGAACCAGCAGCGTCTTCCGGGATGTTAGATTGGGCTTAATTGAGGCTTATTCTTAAGGAAAGGGTGGGATCTGGTAAGCAGAAGATAAGGGACAGGAATGTGATGCGCTTAGCCTGTTCCGTGGGGGATGGAGATTTGGTCAAAATGAATATTTCCTCTATAAGAAAATGGGTGCCTGCCAACGAATCCACAAAGATGGCCTGAAATAGTTTCTTGCTGCAGTGTGTATCAGACAAGGTGCAGAGTCTGTTGTAATTGATTGTACAGTCAATTAGCTTAAAGGAGAGACGGTGTTATTCCCGTGTTTATTTTTTTGGTTGGTGGAGGGCCACACTTTTATTCAGCGTGGAGGGCCCCCCGTGCATGTTAATGTCTCGGAAGGCCAAGTCCAACTTAAAAACATTGCTTTCCTGAGACATACTTTCTCATTTAGAGAAGGCATTGAAGGTTTCCATGTCAGTTTTGTGAATTGTTTTAATAGCTTTTGAAACCAAGTGTGAGGAACTTCACCGTTCAGGGGCTGCGGCAGCTTGTTGAGGTTCTTACTGTGTGGGACACCAGTTGAGGTCTTTCCTTCCAGCCCAGAGGATTCAAACCTTGGCCCTGGGTAGACCCAGTCTCAGCTTTGGCATCTCCTGAAGCATTAGCATGATATAAACAGTTTTTTTTTTTTATCCTTGCAGCTCTGTGTTGGTTTGTTTGGTAAGCGAAGACCCTTCCACAATCCTCCTGAACTTCAAGTTAGTGCAGTATGTAGACCTGAGAGGATTGTGGGTCTTCAAGATCAAATTTTAACATTTTTGGTGTAAATCATTAAGAGGTGTGATGGCCAATCATCTCAATGTTTTTGGGTTGTTACTTGGGATGATTGCACTCTGGATGAAGACCTCAAACCTGCATGGTGTTCGCTGTGTTGTCTCCAGCTGGAAGAATGCGCACTGCAGCTCTCTCCAGGGGGCAACTACTTAGACTTGGAGTCATCCCTCGCCGAGCAGAGAGATGACCTGGAGCAGCTCTACAGAGATGTTGCGTAAGTATCCCTTCATTGGTCGAGCTGAGCCCCTTCTGGTGAGAGTTACTCCCTTTGGCGTGTACTTTGTGCTTTATGATTTTGCAGACAGTTTACACGCACACAAAGCTATATAACACAAAAAATGGAACGCAAACCAACATAATAGGGCCCCTTTAAGCACCAATGTGTAAATTGACTCTCATAGGTACAGTGCTGAGTTTGCCAGTTGTCTGCGGCTAGGGAGGAGTAGGAGGAGGTAAGGAGCGAGCACTGATTAGGAGGAGGTAAGGAGCGAGCACTGGTTAGGAGGAGGTAAGGAGCGAGCACTGGTTAGGAGGAGGTAAGGAGCGAGCACTGGTTAGGAGGAGGTAAGGAGCGAGCACTGATTACAGCGCGACAAACCACCTCAGGGATGAGAACCTGAGTGCAGCCATGTGACAGGTGATACCACAGCACCACACCAGTCCAAATGGACCAGTGTGAGGTTTTTTCCAGTGGCTGGAGTGCCAATCCTGCCACCAACCCCCTGGTTATTCCCAGTAAGCTGGAGGACCTCCTTATAGGACTGGATGTACATTAACGTCATACCCAGGATGAAGCAATTGCAGGTTAAGGGCCTTGTTCAAGGGCCCAATGGAGTAGAATCACTCTGGGCATTCCCGGGATTTGAAGCAGCAACCTTCCAGTTGCTGGCACAGACCCCTAGCCTCAGAGCCACCAGGGAAGAGTGATCTCTTAGAAAAGTTTCTAAAGAGGGGTGTGTAATGAAATGGGATTAAACAGTGGGGTGTTTGTGTATTAGACCCCCGGGCTCTGAGTGGAGTGTCAGTGCCGTGCTTAGGAATGACTGGCTACGCTGCAGTTAAAGAATGGGCCAGAACATGCAGCAGGCCACCCTGCTTCTGGAGGGGTCCGTCTCTGGTTCTTTCGTGATTACCTCCCTTTACGTCCTTTTCACAACTCCTGCACTATACAAATGGCGACAGTATTGGTAATGAAACGTGCTGGGTGTCTCATTGCATCATCAACACGTGGTCGATTGTACCGCAATGGTGATGATTTGGATTCTGGGGGCTGAAAGAAGCCGTTGATGGATGAATGCCCCATTAAAATTGAATGGATTTTTATGGGCTTCTAGTTTTATATTCAGAGTATTAACATATTCCCTTCTGACAGATGGGGATTGTTTGGTCAGCTGATCTGTGGGCCTCTCAATGAAAATCTTTGTCGTCGTGGAATGTAATCTGAATTTAATATATAATTTTTTTTTTTAGAAATATCAGAACCGCAGCACTTCTGACGCAACCATTATCGCAGTGAAACGTGTGTAATTACTGCTTTGTTGCCCAGCAGTGCAGCTGCGGAAGTACAGACCTGAATACGGCCCAGTTGTATATGCAGGGGCGTCACGACAAAACTGTGATTGGGGTGACCGTCAGGGCCAGTTGTATTCATGGGGGTGTCCACGCTGCACCCGCTCTCTTCTGTGGAACCGCTTAGATAATATGGATTTTAGTTTTTATTATTCTGACATTGGATGACAACAGCTATGACCATGACCCCCCCCCGGCCTCCCTTCAGATGCACCCCCAGGTGATCCATGAGGTATTGATGGGGATTATAGAGCCATGAACCTAATACTGACCAGGAGGGAAAAAAACCATCATTTTCTTAATGTAATTTTTATTCCAGTTTCGCATAACTGAGTTGTTGTTTTTTTTTTTTCTTTATCGCCATAGCAACATTCGAACGGTAAGCGTTGTTTATGCTGGGAGCTGAGTGTGTAATTGTACAGCGTATGTGTGGTTACGGCTCGGACAGCTGGGGGAAAGAAAAGCAGAGCGCGTCATGTGAACTGGAGCCCACTGGAAAGTGTGGGCCAGCCGTTCCTCAGACTGGCCTTTTAAAGACACACACACACACACACACACACACACACACACACACACACTTTCGCATGTGGAGGTGGATCGGCAGAAAGATCTTGCTGTCACCCCCCAAAAAAATTCTGAACCGAGTTGCTCTTATTCTTTAGTGGGAATTAGAGCTCAGGTTCAACTGGGCCGGACCTGGCGGCTCCTATTCCTTACCACCCCCACCCCCCCATCACACTGCACACGGTATTTTAGTTTTATACACCATTTATTATATTGATTGTCCTTCATTGCTTTGCCCAACACCCCAAAGTAAATTCCTTGCTTAAAATGACTTAATGGATTTACGAATTAATCAATTTGATACCTGAAACCAACCAAACAAAATTATATTTACACACTAAGATACGGGTCGTTCAATTATGGCAAGAATAACAATCAATCAGTATTCCTTGACTTTGGAAATATCAGACATTGTTCAGGCGCATTACGTAATCAGTCTGCTGTGCCGATTAACATGGGGAATCCCCAGCTTTACCTTGAGGTTGTGTTTATATAGTTATAATGTGAGCCATGGGGTGCCCTGCCCCAGGACTAGCGGACGTGTGAGTGGTGATTCCCACATGCCACGTGTCAGAGTCAGGGTTGCTGTTGAGGTTGCTGTTCAGTGGAAAACGTGTCTCCTTCCTCTTCCGCAGACAGGGGAAAAAGCCAATCTTAATCCTGAGGACCCAGCTGTCTGTCCGCGTTCACTCCATTCTCGGTAAGTACCTAAATTCCTGGCAGCCTTCAAACAGAAAAGTATGAGCAGTGAGGTGCTTTCCATGACGCAGGCCACTCCATACTCCTGTGACTAGTGTTTTTTTTTTTTAACTGCCTTATGACATCACACTCGTTGCCATGGGAGTACTTCTCACTATTTTTCCACATTTCAGTACTTCAGCACCATTTAATTTGTCCCTGTTTTTACCCTCCGATTTAAAACTTACCATGTTCCTTCCCATGCACTTGCATCATACAGTGTAAGTTCCAATTCCCAGGGTTGGCCATGGGATTTCAAGGTGTGCAGTGTTTTGTCTTACAGCCCTTACTAAAAAGAGACAAGTGTTTTAGTATGAAGCAATTTACTTCACTGTTTTCTGGGGGTGAAAGTGGCTTAGTGGGTACTGCTGGTGTCTCATTCCTCTGGGTATGGGTTCAGATCCCACTCTCATTCTTATTGAGGAGTTTGTGTGTTCCTCCTCTGTCACATGGGTCTCTAATGGGTACTGTGGTTGTCTCCTGCTGTTCAGAGATGTGCAGCTTGGTGACCTGGAATGAGTGCATGTGCCGTCGCATAATAAACTGGTTTCCAATTCAGCATTCCAGGTGCCTTGGGCTCTGTCTTCTATAATAGGCTTCTCGCTCAGCTGAACTCCTATACTGTGAACTTGATTGGGCATAGATTGCTCTTAAAATATTTGGTTGGAGGATGGATGGATGGATGAATGGATATTTGTAGTTTTGAATCAAGCTGAAAGGGAGTGGTTTCCTGTCATAGATGCAGTTGAATGTTGTATTTAGTTTCTATAGAAACTTTTTAGTGGATCTGATGGTGGCTGAAATCCCCATTTTCTCTCTGCGGTTTACTGAGGCTAGTTTTGCATGTGGGACAACCGGAAGCTATCCCAGCATTCAGAGGGAGTCTTCCCAATAAGGGCCAATGGTCTGCGAGGTACAATGCTCAGATTCATCTCAACCTATATAACCTCTTTAGCAAACTGTTTAGCATCCCGGGTGCATTCAGTTCTGTTCATCCTCCCTACACTGTGCTGTGGTTTCTAATGCTCTGAAGGAGGCTTGAGTGCCACAAGGCACCCTGGTTTCTAAAATGTTTTAAAGAATTTGTTTTTGCTGTCTTTGAATAGTTCTGGACCACACCTTGTGCCACGTGGTGTCTCTCTTTCACTGGATCGATGCTCCATTGTTCCTTCTTTGTTTTTATTAAATTCTCTTGCTCACTCTAAGCCTTCACCGGGAGGAGGCTCAACCTGACCAAACTGGTCTGGTATGTCACATTCCTGTCGCTCCACTGGCCTACTGCAGCTCAGTCATGTTTATAGTACAAGAGTTAATAAGACTAATGGTAGCTTTTGGCCATCAGCATTTAATTTGTTATGAATGACTGTAGGGAGGCGCAGTGGCTAGCACCGCTGCCTCACACCTCTGGGACCCGGGTTCGAGTCTCCGCTTCTTCGTCCTGGGTTGTCCCTGCCTTGTGCCTGTGGCTATGCTCCAGGCCCCCGTGACCTTGCATAGGAGCAAGCAGGTACAGAAAATGGATGGGGTGATGCAACAAGGTATTAATGTGTATTAATTGCAAAAACAGTGAGCTTTGGGAAACAAATGCAAGGCACTGTCTCTGAATATGATGAGGTCAGTCTCAGGACAGTTGTGATGTCATATACACAATCTAGAGTGTCTGCATGTGAATGCTGCCAAACTAATTCAGGGACCTCTGTTTTTCATGAAGACATGCTTTCTCTTTTTCAGGTGAGTTATGGTCACTCTGGACTAGACAGTTGGCATACTGTTCTAAGTTAGGCCTGCTTCGCTTGCTGCTGGTTTCACTTGTGCTGTACACTGTATTCAGGGTGTTCCGGTGAATCACTTTTGCCAAATTTTTCCTTGCAAGTTAATCACATGATTACCTTTGTCTTACTTTGATGGCTCATTGTGTGCTTTTTTCTCAGGTATGTGCGCAAATAATCGAGAGACGAAAATTCTTTTAGCATGTTTTTGTTGAGGAAGAAATGGCTTCAGTCTTTCCTGTTTGGATTAAGCACATGTGCCTCTGCCGTTCTGTGTCAGCCTGTCCCTCAACAGCTTCCAGAGTTACTGTATCTTGATGTTAGCAAAATGAATGTGTGTCCATCAGTCTCACTTCCCCCTCAGGGAGTCGCGGTTAAATAAGTGCCCCAGTGCAACCGGGACGGAGAGGCTATTTGTTTGTTTATTTTAAAAGCCGCGCCCAGAACTCAGTGGGCGTTTGGTCACCACGACAACATCAAGGAAGTCAACATCACCTAAGTGGCACTGGGGGTGGTGGTATCCCCAGAGGGATACACTGTGGTCTTAAACATCCCCCATGGTGCTTGGATCATGTAACTGTGATCAGTCTTGAAGTGAAAGTTCATCTGCAATTCTGAAATTTTTGAGTGTGGGGAGGCACAATAAGGAAGTGCATGGGAGTGGATTCGCCTCCTTCCCAGATCCCAGTCTGCGGAGGCCCTGCTTCCCTTTGCCCTCATCACGCGCTGCTAGCTGAGGTACTACCCTGTCTTTTGTTCCCTCTCACTCCCTGTGGGTCTGTGCCTCAGCTTGTATGCAGTGTTTAGAGCACTGATATGCAGGCAAAAGCCTGGGAGCTGAGGGCTCTTTTCGCCACATGCATGCCGGCAGTGACATGAGCAGCACTGGACTGTGACATTCCAGTCTGACAAGCTGTGTGCACAGGCATGCTCAAAGGCAGCTTTGCCTAATGTGGTTCATAAGAAAATGACATGAAATCATGACTCTTTCCCTGTTTTTCTGTGGGTGTGGAAGTTCGATGTCTTAGCTGTCAGCGAGCCTGAGGTGTCCATGTACATTTGATCACATGGAAACATAATCATTTCAGTCATACTTAAGTGGAATGAAATGGATCCACCCCCCCTCCTGGGACCTGAGTTGGGAACCTGTTTTACATGCACCTACATCACCTACCCTTAACTGCCGTAAAAGCATAAACCTAAAGTTTACTGGTAGGCTTATGGTGCCTGTAATTTATTCTGTAACTATAAAGAAACTAGCACTTTGAACTGCTTTGAACTGAATTAGCACTGTAGCATCACTTCTTGATGTTTGCGTACTGGATTATTTTTTAAAAAGTTGTAGGTATAAGTTGAGATACATTGCTGTGTTCATCCAAACAGTTATAACATGTAATGTAATGACAACCCAACCTAAGGTAAGATGATCTAAGCTTGTCCAGTTGGTGGAGTTCTGGTTAATTGGTGTTACTGTTAGTAAACAATGGAATTAAGTTTCCATAACCTTCTTTAATGGTGAGGTGAGGACAAGCTATATTATTTAGACAAAGTAAATCATTCTAGTGTTTAGTTGCCTGGCCTATCATGGCTGTGTTTTAGGAGTCATGATTGCCAATAAACAGTTCCTTGTCATCAGGAATCCTCTTAAGGGGCAGCAGCAATGGCTCGTGGGATTGAGAACCAGAGAAGGAAGCTAAAATGAACGTCACAGTATATAAGTCCTTGAAACCGGTCAGCTGAACCCCGTGATTAACATGAGATTGTTCAGTCAGAGATGGTTCCGCGAAAAATGCAGCTGCCAGAAAACATTTCTGCTTTTACTTGACATTTTACATCTTAGTGCAGCGACGTGTGTTGCTGAAGTTGTTGAAATCATTTACAATAATCTCTTATTTGTTTTCGTGCTTCAAAGCATGACATTTTTCTCGTGTTCGGGATGCTAATTTGGCAAGTGCTAATGTTTTGACTCTTCGCTTAGCAGGTGCTTGAGAATGAACTGCGTAGAGTCATAGGATTAGGGTTAGGTTATGGTTATGGTTAGGTTACAGTCATAGGATTAGGGTTAGGTTATGGTTAGGGTTAGGTTACAGTCATAGGGTTAGGTTATGGTTAGGGTTAGGGTTAGGTAAGGGTTAGGTTACAGTCATAGGGAGCCTTATCTAACCGTAACCTTGCCTGAGGTGAAGTTGCGTCATGAGCCCCCAGTTTGACAGCACGACTCCGCAGCGGACGAGATGTGGCAACAGGGGCAGCCACGTTACTGCAGTGTCAGCAGACAACAGATCATCCGTGTCGGCACCGTCCCTTCAGGGGGGGGGATGTTCATGTGGACACTTCTTGTCTTATTGCTACACATTGGCAGTAATGGAAATGTGACTGCTGGCTCCGCCCCATCAGTCAGTCAAACTACCCTTTGTAACTTTTGTAGCCATATGGCCGCATAGTTTGCTTGACGGGGTCTCCCTGCTTAATCTTAGTGGTGCGATGAAGTGGCACGGTCCTTTCTGGAATCGGAATGTTTTCCAAAACGAATGGCCCCATAAAGCCCCGCCCCCCCCTTCTTCCCTGAGGGTGGGGTGGACTCGGGTACTCTGCCATCTTTGGTCTGGTCTGGAGTCCCGCTGAAGCCATGCGTGTGAACTGTGCTGTACAGGATTGTCCCTGGGGACCTCCTCACTTACCCAGTAAGTAGCTGTGCCCCTCAACCAGTTATATTTGAGTTCCAGAGATCTTGGGAATCCTGTGCTGTTATTGGATGATGTGTTTTCCCAAACATTTATGTATGTAATAATAATAATAATAGATTTATTGATCCCTTTGGTGAAATTCACTTTATGCCTCCCCCAGCTTGCTCTCTGTAGGTGAGGCTTTTCCTTGTTCATGGACAGGAGAGAGTAAGCTGGCCTCCAAGGGCAGCCACCCATAGCAGCACCCAGGGAGTTGGGAGTTAAGGGCCTTTCTCCAGGGCCAACAGGTGTGTTCTGGCTGGGCTTGAACCAGCAACCTTCTGCTCACAGGCACAGAGGCTTAGCCCACTGAGCCACACACTGCCCCTTGTTGGGTGGGTGTTTTTTTATAATAATAATAATAATAATAATAATAACAATAATAATAATATTTAACCCCTTTCCTTGTTCATGGACAGCTTGCGCATGGTGCTACTTGACTGTAAAGGGTCCCTGAATGTGTGCAT